AAATAATATAAATGCATAATATAATATTAAAATATAAATAACTAACTTTAAATACAACATTGAATTATTTAACACTTTCACATTTTTGACCGATTATAATTTAAGTTTATTTTTATTTGCTAGTAAACTAGTAAAACTACTCCTTCTGAAAAATTATAGTTTTAAGCAGTGTAAGTGAATTGACCATTAAAAAATAAAAATCTTCCACCACTGTCATTACATGCTGCATAAATAATGAACGGAGCCATATCCCTATCTCATCCGAGTTTCCTCTCTTGCAAACAGGACCAACGTCCCACTGACAGGACCTGGCTTGACTCTCTAGGCATACCACTGGGGCATGTTAATATTTTTAATCAAAGTTTATTAATTGTCATTCATTAAAAATTTGTTTGGTTTCCTCTTTTTGTGTAATTTAGATGGAAAATGTGTGCCTGTTTTATCGTTTGAGTCACTTATCAAGAGTTGCTAAATGTTGCCAAGTAAATTTGAAAAATAGCTGAAACGCTCCAGCGTTGCTGTGTATGCAGGGTCAGACAGCTCTCAGATTCCATCAATATCTTAATTAGTTCCGAAGATGAACGAAGGTCTTACGGGTTTGAAACGACATGAGGGTGAGTAATTAATTAATGACAGAATTTTCATTTTTGGGTGAACTAACCCTTTAAGTGCTGATCAAATCGGCGCAGAAGTCATCCAGCATTATGAGCTAGATTTGCTAGAAGACAATAGCACAATACTCACTCTAAAGTTGTCGATGTAACTTGAAACGTTTAATGCCCTTCTCCGTGCTATAAAATTAATTTACAGTAATCCCGGGAAGCTCTTGTAAACTGAAAAATCATCTTCTCTTGCCATTTTGAAAGCTCTTATGTAAGGAACAATGGCTTCCGGGGCAGCACCTGATGTAAGTAAGCCCCCCGAGGAAAAACGTGGAAGTGACCGTGCATAGAGTCCATTTGAGAAGTGTTTTGACTTAATTTGGATTCAACGTTTACATTTGTATGTTTCATTTCGATTTCTACATTATATTTTTGTTTTATACTTACATTCACTGCTTATTTCATAATTTATACTAGAGGCCTAAATGTAAATCTTGAGGTGTGGCATTTGAAAACACACTGTTTTAAATATTTGTTCGAAATAAATGTAGCATTTACCATGCAGTTGGTGCTCCAGAGCATTTGCTAAAACGATAATTTGCACTGAATGAAATACTGCTTAAACTGAGCCAGCACAAGTACACACTAAGAACAGGAAGA